GAAAAAGAAATTGTGTGTTGTCCCGATTGTAATTGGAGCCCTTGGAGCAATACCTAAAGGGCTACCTTGCTACTTGAAAAATTTAAATTTATCAGACTTGAACATTCTGAATCTACAAAAAAACACCCTACTTGGAACAACTTATATCCTCCGACGTTACCTTAACATTTCCTAGGTCCTTGGTTGGGACTCGAGCTGTTGAGCTACCAACCGGTCCCAAAGGCAGTGAATCTCACCAAAGATTAACCGCTTAATAATAATAAAGCAAATTATATATTTATGTTTAAATCCCATCAACTGTGACATTTACCACTTTAAGAGTCATTTGGCTATTATTCTAAAATATAGGAATTATCAAAATGGTGAGTCATTTGCATTCCTAGAATTTAAAATAATGTCTGGCTTGGTATTTCAATTTAGCAGAATAAGAATATCATTTGGAAAATTATGCACTTTTAAACTCTACTAGTTTCAATGGAAATGTAGATTTAAAAAAAATTAATCCTACCATATTAATAGATGAAAAATAGATGAAAGATGATATAGATAGATAGACAGAGATACAGACAGACAGATAGATATAGATAGATACAGATAGATAGATAGATAGATAGATAGATAGATAGATAGATAGATAGATAGATAGATAGAGAGTTGAGAGAGGAGGGGATAGCATTTAGGATTATATACTACCCCAAAGTACTAGTACTTTACAATCTTCTCTGAACGGTTTACAATAGATTAGATAGAGATAGTATAGATAGAGATAGCTAACTAGCTAATTAACTAGATCAGTGTTTGTCAACCTTGGCAACTTGAAAATGTCCGGACTTCAATTCCCAGAATGCCCCAGCCAGCATTCGCTGGCTGGGGAATTCTGGGAGTTGAAGTCCAGACATCTTCAAGTTGCCAAGGTTGACAAACACTGAACTAGATAGTAATCTTGTGTACAGTATGCTTACTTCAAAATATATTCTGCTTTGTTTAATGGAATTTATAGCTTTGTAACTATATCCATGTAAACAAAAATTGGAACCAAAGTGCAAACAAAGTAGGCATGACATTAAATCCATGTTGCATTAGTTTAGAAAAATGTAGATTAAATTTAGTTATCTCATGAATTAAGATTACTTCTCCCTCTGTATTTTTTAAGATATTTCTTTTTCCATTTATATGAAAATTGATCCCCGAGCCATTAGCTCTGAAAAGAGACTTTTCATGGCAACTTTACTTCCATAAGTGCTTGTGAATTTTTTTTTTTGTTAACAGCATAGCATGGAAAGAGTTAAATACTGTCCGCATGTAACTTGATGGGGTTGTAATCTCTTTCACATACAGCTACTTGAAAATCAACTTCCAAGCAGAGCATATGCATTTCTGCCTTTAATGTCAGAATTTATTTGAGATCCTGAAGCCTAGCTGATACTGTATGCATTTTTTTAAATCTTACATGAACTTTAGAGCTTCAAATAATGAAGAGAAAAGGATAATTCAAAAATCTTTTTAAACAGAGATTTTGGAATTGCATTGAAAACATTTTAAATACTTCAGAACAATAGGCAAACCATTAAGAATATGATATTGTAAAAGATACTAGTTGTTGCCATGGAGCTTAGTAATGAACCTGATCCTATGTGGAAAACAAGATGAGGGAGAATTTCACATGTTCAGCCCAAACAAATTTTTTCCTGATTAGGAAAACAGTCCAAGTGACTCTACCAAACAAAACTTGTGGTTGTTGACCAATGAATTAGAAGATGCTGGCAATTTGGGGGAAAATGATGTTTCTGACCTGAGAAGCCGCCTCCTTCTTCATGTTAGTCAAGAAAAGATGGGCCTTTCCTGAAGTGGTAGAAATTGTATTTTTAAAACCAAGCCATACTTTTGAATAAGCATTTTTTTCCAGCTTATCAAGTTTTCACAAATCTCCTAAATATTTCATTCCTAAGGAGGGAAACTGGTTTGTGAAAAGGGTGCCTTTCCATCAGGCCTAACAATTGAATCATCTCCTGAAATGGGAGGCCCAGTTATTCTTTAGGTAGGCCAAAGGGAGAGAACAGTGCTACATTTAAGTGCAGTTTGATGCCTCTTTGTATCTGCCACTTAGAACAGGGGTCCCCAACCCCTGGTCTGTGGACTGGTACCGATCCGCAGCATGACAGTAACCAGGCTGTGCGAACAAGCGAAGTCCCATTTGTGGGATGCAGGCAGCATGCAAAACCATGTCCCTTCCTGTCTGTGGAAAGACTTTTCTCCATGGAACCGGTCCCTGTTGCCCAAAAGGTTGGGGGCCACTGACTTTGAAGAAGGAAATGCTCCTCATTGGCTGACTCATGCCTGTCTTCATGACTAGGAAAGAAACAAGAAGTGAATCATAGTCCTTAGGTATTCTCCTTGTAGCTAGGAAGATGCAATATATTCATGGTTTCTCCATCATAGATGTTCAGTTGAGATTGCTCAGTTTTATCAAAAATTAAAAAGAGATCACATTTTTCTATTGTAACACAGAACTTAACCATCTGATCAATGCAATATTGTCTCTATTGTATTACATCTATTATTATTATATTGACTGGCCCCATCTATAAGAGGTGTGATGGCTTAGAGGTTAAAGATGCTGGGCTTCTAAACTGGAAAGTTGACAGCCTGGGTTTGAGCCCCGAGTGCTGTATTACCGGGCAAACTCCCATTCTTGTCCTACATACCTAGCAGTTTGAAAGCATGCAAATGCAAGTAGGTAAATAGGTACCATTTCAGTGGGAATGTAAGAGCGTCAATGTGCATATAGTCATGCCACATGACCACAGAAATGTCTTTGGACAATCTTGGCTACCTCAGCTAAGAAATGAAGATGAGCACCACCCCACAGAGTGGGAAACAACTGGTCGTGGGAAATCTTTTCCTTTACCACTGTCTATAGATAATTTGTGTAATTTCTTGTCTTTCTTCCATCATTTCTTTGGCATTATGCTTCTAACACAGGACTTTTAGTAAGGAAAAATGTCATATCAGCAAGAGCTGCATGCCAGTGAAACTCTTTAGCGGGATAGGTGATGGGCTATCCTTCCCTATATGAATTCAAGGTGGACAACTGGACAAGCAGGGGAACTCAGTTCAGTTTGCATGGCCATGTCTAATTCTATAATTCCATGACTGCTTGTCATGCATCAGGTAAAATGAATTTTGCTGAAATTCATTTCATCTGACTGAATTTCACAATGTTATGTAGTAATAAAAAGCCAATTTTCAAGGTGTGAGGATGCTCTGTGGCTTATGCTATTACTACCAGTACAATAACTACCTCTCTGAGGTGCGTTTCAGTGAAATAGAATGGGGGGGGGGATTTAAAAATATTTATAATCAGTTGTTTAAGACAAATTTATACTACTGTTTATCACAAAGGGCAAGGGAAATAAATGCCCTTTTGTAATTTCTACTTGATTCAATGAATTTGAAGATAAGAACTCCCCATAATATTTTTTAAAAATCCATTTGTTGTTTAATCTGTTATGTAGTACAGATAATCTTGCATCATGTTTTAAACTATTTATCTAAATCTTGCTTCTTAATGTACACCTGGCTCTTCTTAGAACTATTGGGACTAATGTGGACGTAAATCTCCTAAGGAGTGAAATGCAAATTTTATAAAACATCAGATCATGGGGGGAAAAAAAGATGAACCAACATACAAAACCTACATTAGACAGTTCTACATCATCTTACTATATAATTACTATTCTGGAAATGTCAAATCTGAATGCAATGTCTATAAATTACTTGGTTCCAGCATCATCAGAGAAAAACAATGCAGCAAAGTTGAGCAGAAATTTTAAATGACATTTCTTTCTTTTTCCCCCCTTCTCTCTCTCTCTTTCTCTCTCTCTCTCTCTCTTCCACCCCCCACGTCTTTTCCTCTCTCTGTATGTGTTTTAATTAGCAACATAATGTACTGCAATTGAAAGACTTATTATTCGATGCTTGGGCAGAGAGGTATCATAATCTCTCTTCATCCAAATGCAACATGCTGCCTTTGTGACTGCTGACATTAATTATTGAGAAAGAGTTCCGAAATAGCGCATGTGTTCAGAGCTTTTGCCTGTAACATAAGAAAGAGATGCGAGAAGGATTTGCGGGAAAGGATGTACCTGTAGCATTTTGGCTTTTGTATGCCTGAACTGTTGTAAGATGTAAAAAAAACAAAGAAAGAGAAACCTGTTTTGTAGATCAAATCATGAAAAGATGAGTCGTCAAGCTTACTTTTATCGTGTCCCTCCACAGGAATTGCACCGAAGGACACAACTTCAGCCTGAGCCAGCAAAAACAAAAGCTCTTCAAACAGTCATAGAGATGAAGGTATGGATGTTTTCCCATGTTTATTCCATGTAAGGCAATGACCTTGGTGATTGCTTGTTGGATGGATCATGGAATTGTCCCTTGCTTTTATTGTACAAAATACATGGATTTGTGCAATATGTGTGTATGTCATGTTGCAATCACACCATTTGTTTCCCAGAGAGTGTCAATCAAATTTGTCAGACTCTAAAATGTCTCCTATACAATACGTGTGACAAATATCTAAAATACTTGGCTGGGAGAAACAGGGTTTGTTTAAAGAGATATTTTTAACATTTTGCAATCTTTCCCCATTCTGCTTGATAGATATAGGTGTTTTTCTAAACAACTTGCTTTTGATACATTGTTAGAAAATATTTTGCAGATTTTTTAAAGGACGGTAGCAGTTTTCTTTATATTAACCATCCCTTTAGCCATTTTGAATGGTATCAAAGAAAGAAAAATTTTCTTCATTCTATATTGTGTTCACTTTTGTTGTCCTGAATATAGCCTGTGCTGTTTCATTACATCCATAAATTATGAAACAAGTTGCCCCAAGTTTAGGTAAAGGGATATTGAATAAGATAGCAACTTTCAGGTCTGATCACATGACAGTAAGTTATATGTTGATTTCAGTAATGATATCCCTTCCTACTTCTATTAATCATCACAAAAGGGATTGTGGTTGAATAGGTGCTACTGACATTTGGGTCATGAAAATAATGGCCTGCAGTATGATTTTTTAAAAAAAAAATGATTTTCATTGAAGAATTTTATGCAGCAGTGGCTTCTACAATAATAAAAGAGACACAATTTTAAGAAAAAGAATAAAGAAAAATGATGACTCAAGAAAAGAAAAAGAAATATAAAAAAGAAACTTCCAGACCTCTTTAAAGCAGTTAAAAATAATTTTATTTCCTGTCCTCATTCTTTTAAGATTTTATCTTGATTCCATTCTTTCCATATTTTATGCTTTCTAGTCATAAAACCCATAAATCACCAATTCATTTTTTTCCATTTTTAGCAAAACAAAAAAACACCATAAAGAGTTTTCAGTCATTAATAATTGTACTTGTTTCCTTTTGTCTAGTCAAACAAGTCAATTTTTCCATTCCTGGAAATTCTGTCAGCTTTCCTCCATTGTAGTATGTCCAAATATTTCCAACTTTATGAATATAATAATCTTGTCCCACTACGATTTATAAAATCTTTTCTATCCATAAGTCCTAACAGTGTTATTTTGTTTCAGTGGTACCTTGGTACTCAACTGCTTTGAAACTCATCAGATTTGGTACTCAATGCATTTTGATGTGAAAATTTTGTCCTGATGTGAAAATTTTCTCCTGATACTCATTGTTAGTTTGCTATTCAATGAACAAGTTAGAACTTGCTGGTGTTGGCTGCCTTGCGACATATTACACGTCTAATGGGAAAAATCTGTTTGGTAAACATAGTTTTTGGTTCACGTCCTACCTCCCAGAACCAATTAATGATGTAACAAGGTACCATCTGAAAGTCTGTTCCTGTTCTATAACTCTGTAATAAAACTAATTTTAGCATGCCTAACTTTGGTATCTGAGTTTGGTCTACCTCAAAGGACTGACATCAGATGAGGTTGTGTTCTGACGCAGCCTTAGCAGAAGCAAGAAACAAACTCTTGTCACAAAAACACCTCCCTATATACCTCTTGTGAATTAATTGCAATCACCCACTGAAAAGTCCAGGCAATAGTCCTTCAAGGAGTTAACTGCTAACAGACCGTATCAGTTCCCTGCAATAATTTCAAGGCTGTGCGCTCCCAGATGAAAGCCTGCAATTAAATTCTGGTAAGCAGTCTTTGTGGCACGAAACACTATGAGCAAAATCTTCAGAAATACGAATTGTTGTCTCCTATGATAACCACTCCACTTTCCTTCTATTTATTCCCCAGCCAGGGAGCGGCCATTCAGTGTCCATGTGTGCTTTGCTTTCTGAGTAGATTGCTTGTCCTCTGTTGCTCTCCTCACTCATATCAGCCTCCAAAGGTAGCTGCCTCTGGTGGCTGGGACATGTCAGATGACCTTGGCTCTATCTCTGTGTCTGACGTAGAGCATCCATCAGAGCCTTCTCCAGGCTCCAGAACTGGCCCAAGTTCCTCCCCAACCTCCTCATTGTCTGAGTCTGCCAGCAGCTCTGTTGGCAGATGGCGGGCCACAACTGGCTGCAGCTTTTCCTTGTTGCCACCACAGGCTAGTTAGGAATGTAGTGGAATTTCCACTAATTCTTCTTTCTAGTCTTTGCTTTATTTGCTATCTCCTCATTTCTTTATTAGCAATCAGAAAAACGAATTCCCCCAAACACTAATAGTAATAAACGCTTCAGTTACCACCTTTTGTCACCACCCACATGCACTTCCTCATGCACTTCTCAGTTGCTTTCTCCCCTTTTCTCTTCACCTGTGGTTGTGGAGATTGACTATCCTCCTTGAGGTTTCTCATATCTCGGAAGGCTTAGTTTCCTTGACATACAGTATGTGGTTTGAATGGCTCTCTGACTTACTTTACTCCTTTCCCGTTCTTATTTCCTGCTTACTTATAATTCCATTCCTATTTACATCTTTTATTTGTATTTTCCAGACTTTAGAATGACAGTTTACAGACTGGCTTTCCTCCCCATCCATTTCCTTTCTTCCTACAACCTTGCAAGATTATCTTTAGTACTTCTTTTTCCTCTACTCTGGTTACCCAGCCATTTCTCCAGATTTTTCCAAACTTGCCTGGACTGAATTTCCTCCCTGATGTTTATCTCATTGAGTCCATTCAGTTACCTCAATGGGAAAAACACAAAAAAAACCCCACAGATAATCTTTATGAGAATCAGATCTCCTCCTCTTTGATCCTGAGTGGCCCTGCTCCTCAGAGGATTTAAAACCCCATTGTATAGCCCATGTTAACAATAAGAATAGAATGCTTAAATCAAAGCAAAACATTACCTACTAAGATCCTCAATGAAATGATATATACATTCACAAACATAAGGTAAGATCACATACAGTACGTAAAGAATGGCATCTGATTCAGTTTCAGGAAGCATTTCCCTGCACTTTCAGAAAGCTAATTTTCAAGAACATAAATAATTTATGGAAAGGCTATTTCATCTGCCATCTGTCTTCTACATAGAATACCTACCCATCTACTTACCTATCAACAATCTATCTTACTCATCTTAATGAGTATTAAGCTCATTCTGATTTCTAGTTATTCTTCAAATGTTAGTAAATGTAAGTTTAATATCTACACAAAATAACTGTATAGACTTTGCTCATATGCTCTTATGGATTTAGAAGTCACAGCTCAAGCTTGGCACATTTTCAACCAATTTCCATTATTACAAAGATTTCTGTTAGAATACCATTTGTGTAGGCAGAAAAAACCCCAAGTCTATAACTCATTGATAATCACTTTTAACACATACACCTTTGGAATTTCTGATGGATTTATAATTCACATTATTATAAACTTCTTGTTAGTATAATATGGGAACAACTGGCTGAAATACTTAAAAGAATAACCCGAAATTACACTTTCTTGGAGATTGAAACTATGGGTTTTTTATCTTGAAGTTAATGCACACACATACACACACACACACACACACACACACACACACACGACTGTAAGAATTGAGCACTTGTATGTTGCATGTACATTTCTCTCTGAGAATATATATTTATACACATGCATACAGGTTTAGGTTTAGGTTTAGGTTTAG